CCCCCTCCCGTCCCCGCCCTCTCTTGACGCCGACCCAACACCACCCCCCGACACCCATCCTCCAACGAAGCAACGCCACCACTGAGCAGCGTTAGACCGCTCGGCAGGGCCTGTCGACCACGTGTCTCTTATGGTACCGTACCCACGAAATTCGGCTTTGTAATTGTGCCCTATAATGCAGCACAATATCACCGCTTCGAGGAGGTGGATACCCAGGACGGGGCAAGGAAAGGGGGAAGGGCGGAAACAGCGAGTGGAGGGGGTGGGGAAAAAGCAGAGAAATTTAAATGGAGTGCGTCAAAGTTTGATGCAAAACGCATGATCGCACCGGCTCGCCTAGGCGTTCCAGCCTGGGCTATCTTTTTCGTTGGTCCGCTTAATAGAAATGCCGAAACCGAAATTTGAGATTTGATTTTGTCTTTGGGGATATCAGGTCCCCTACTTTTTGAATATCTACTTCAGCAGGAGTTGAAGGGGATATTGGTACAGGCGTAAGCCAGAAAGGCAGAACTATTCGCTTCTGAGGTTTTAGTAGACAAATGCATTCAACAGTCATGTCGGCTGATGATTGTTTTTGATGTGCGGTCTGCTTTTGAGTATTTTCACCTCTCATAGTGAGTGAAATATGAGGGAGTTTTGAGGTTTTTTGAAAAGATTGACTTTTTGACTTTTCAAATTACTGCTTCAATTATGCAGTCGTTTTGGCTCATTTTAACATTATTTTTAGGTTTGGCGACAATGATCTCGACAATGCGACCTGATATTGATAACGTTGATGAGTACGTACGGAACACAACAGCCCGTGCATTTGCTGTGGTTGCTTCTGCACTGGGCATCCCAGCTCTTCTGCCATTCCTGAAAGCTGTTTGTAAAAGTAAAAAAAGTTGGCAGGCACGACATACCGGTGCGTTTCGCTTACACTGTTTTCTCTTTGACAAGCATACATTGCTTCTTGAGATCGCCTCGAACGATGTCTGTTCCAGGAATCAAAATAGTGCAACAGATGGCGATTCTGATGGGTTGTGCAGTGTTGCCGCATTTGCGGTCGCTGGTTGAAATTGTTGAGACTGGACTCGTCG